GATTGTGTAACTTCCGATCACAGTCCTTGTCTCATTGAAATGAAGGGGCTTGAACGCGGCGATTTCATGGAAGCTTGGGGTGGTGTCAGTTCTCTAGGCCTTGGATTAAGCCTTCTATGGACGGAAGGAAGGAAGAGAGGCATCTCACTTGGACAGATCATCCGTTGGATGAGCATTAGAAATGCAGAGTTAGCGGGACTGTCTGGTACTAAGGGCCAGCTGAAAGTGGGACATGACGGAGATTTAGTGATCTGGGATCCGGAACCAGAATTCAAGGTGAATTCTAGTTCTGCTACTGCTCCCGTGATGATATCGATGATAACCGATCGAGTGATAGGTCTCGAAAAAACATTTGTATTTCAAGAACAAGTTAACCCCATATGAAGGCATGACTTTGAAGGGCCTCGTACACAAAACATTTGTTCGTGGTAGATTGGCTTACGATTCGGCACTTCAAGATGGTTTCACGGGTCTTCAACCTTCCGGAGAGCTACTATAGGTACTTGCGCGACAATTCTTGCTTGTGTGCAGTGTGTTGTAAACTGGGCAGAACGTTGCAGTCTCGAATTTGCGGCGACCTGTATTAGTTTGGTGATTGGCGAAAGTCTTTGAAATCACTAGATCTGAGTGCAAGCAGCGACAGTGAACTTTCGGTCGAATAGACCAATCAAGGGAAGTTTACAAGCTACGATTGGCTGATTGGGCCGGGGCCTAGCAAGATGTTCATATATATCTAACACTACCAGCCAGCCGGGCTGGGCACCTAGTAGTACGAAGCAACATTGACCTTGAATTATTGGGCAGATCCGAGTCGTAGTACATACGATGTGAGTGTTCATTTATCATTTGTTTGGTATAGCTCGAAGCTTAATCGTATCTGCAGTTGATCACATTGCGCTGTCAGTTGAGACTTTCGATAAGACCATGAACAACCAGTCCCTAGTTGTGACTGGCCGGAATGTCCTGCTGCCCGGTTCGGATCAGCCGCAGCCAGCAACGATCACGGTGAACATCGACACAGGTAAGATCACGGACATCCAAACAGTGTATGCAGAACGAAGTCCGGGCGGAGATGCAACGTTCATTGATGCAGGAGAAAAGTTTGTTCTTCCTGGACTAGTCGAGTGAGTGTTTGCCCCGTATCCCCATGAGAACCTGTCATTTGAATGCCTTTGCAGTGCCCACGTTCATCTAAATGAGCCTGGTCGAACGGACTGGGAAGGCTTTTGGACTGGTACGCGGGCAGCTGTGGCAGGAGGAATCACCACGGTCGTGGATATGCCCTTAAACTCTATACCACCCACGACCACTTTACAGAACCTCGAGATCAAGCGACAAACTGCACAAGGCCAGTGCTGGGCCGACGTTGGCTTTTGGGGTGGAGTTATTCCAGGGAACCAGGCAAGCTGCGCGTTTGAGACTGTCTGAAGAAATCACCTCATACTGGAATAAAGGCGGACCTGAAACCATTGGTGGCTGCCGGAGTAAAAGGATTCAAGTGCTTTTTGATTGAAAGCGGTGTCGAGGTGAGTGAGATATTGCGTCCTATCATCCAATGGCTCACAACATTTGTCCAGGAATTCCCTTGCGTCTCAGAACACGATCTCCATGCGCATATGCAAGAGCTCCAGGTCAAACTGCATATGAGGACCCAGTGAGCTACTAGCTAACTTTTTCTCTCTCGCAGGATCAATCGACTGTCCTGTTGTTCCACGCAGAGCTTGAAGATGATTCCTGCTCAGTGACAAACCACGAGGAGCACGATCCAACAGCATATCAAACCTTCCTCTCCTCTCGCCCTCAGGAGCTTGAGGCTAACGCTATCTCTCTGATTACCGTCTTGCAAGAGAAATACAACTCCCTTCGTTGCCACATCGTTCACCTATCTGCATCTTCTGCTCTTCCTATTATTCGTGCTGCACGTTCTCGTGGGTTGAATCTGACGGTGGAAACATGTTTCCATTATTTGTGCCTCTCAGCGGACGACATACCAGATGGCCGACCTGAATTCAAGTGCTGCCCGCCTATTCGTTCTGAATCAAACAGAGATGCACTGTGGGAGGCATTAAGAGATGGTACCATCGATTGTGTGGTATCCGATCATAGTCCATGTGTAGCAGAGTTGAAGAAGTTCGAGGAGGGCAATATCATGACTGCCTGGGGAGGCATAAACAGTCTCGGCTTTGGCCTTAGCCTTCTATGGACAGAAGGCCAAAGGAGGGGCATTAGCCTCCGTCAGATTATTCGTTGGACGAGCGAAGAAACCGCGAAACACGCTGGGCTTTCATCATCCAAAGGGCAATTATCAGTAGGGTATGATGGCGACCTCATCATCTGGGACCCTGCAGCCGAGTTCAAGGTATATTATAAACACTTTCGATTTTGCCAAGTCATTCTTTAACGTTAACATCGACAGGTGTCAAAGGAACTTTTCCACTTCAAGAACAAATTCTCCGCATACGAAGGGATGGTGCTAAATGGAGTTGTGCAGCAAACGATTTTGCGCGGCCGCGTGGCCTACGATAGGGCGCAGAACGGCTTTGATGGCATTACCCCCATCGGCAAGCTCCTGTGATTCCCAATGATTAACGAGACGCTACAGTCTTGTTAAATCCTTCTCAGCCCACGTATTGGAGTTGTACGATCTGTTATACCAGTCATAATATTTCGGAACGCCGTCTTTTCTGATTCCGTTAGCGCTGAGCTACTATTATACATGGAGCACGCGTACTATAATTAGAACCCCTGAGCGTGTTGTTGTACGTATATCGCTTACTATTCGGCATACTTCATGGTCAACTTGGCCTGATTAGCCACACCACCAATTCACTACGGGCAACAAACATGCCTGTTCTTAACAGAGTATTTACATGCACAAGGGCCATCCGTTCAACGGGCAGCTCTGGCGTCGCCAAATGTTCTGTATCTCCAGTGATTAGGTAGACATTCACGCCTCCATAGTTACTTCGGGTCACTAATCTGCGCTGCGGCCATCTCAGAAACGATCATGCCCGACCCTGCGAGCCCGTCGTTTCTGCAGGTGGTAAGCTTATATCACAGTCGCGGGCAATGACCACCTCTGCCGATTCCCTCGTTGCCTTTGGACAACAACATGTCACCAGAGGCCTCGGCCGCCTCACAGAAGCTGTCATGACAAAGGGTGAGGGTTCGTACGTGACCTTTGAGGATGGACGTAGGATGTTAGATTTCAGCTGTGGTATCGGTGTGACAAACCTTGGTGAGTTTCTATACTCTCCACAGTGAATGATTCACTAGAAGTCTCATGATGATACCCAACTCCAGGTCATTGCCACCCGAAGGTTTCCAAAGCTGCAGCAGATCAATGTGTGAACATTGTTCATGCTCAGGTATGGTCTAACTTCGGAATGCAGTTTGAGATAAACTCACTCTTGGTACTCTTCTAGTGCAGCATCTCATTCCATGGCCCTTACTTGCGCCTTATCGAGAAACTCCTTCCAATCATGCCTGATCCCTCGCTTGATTCGTTCTTCTTTTGGAACTCAGGCTCTGAAGCCATTGAAGCATCCCTCAAGATGGCACGACAAGTTACTGGTCGGCAGAACATTATCGCCATGCAGGGTAAGTTGGTGGTAAGTATTCACAAAGAGCTTAAGCAGAATTTCTGGCCTTGCAGGCGGTTATCATGGTCGAACGTTTGGTGCCATGGCTGTTACAAAGAGCAAGACGGTCTATAGTGAAGGATTCTTTCCATTGATGGTAATTTTGGTGTTTAGGATATATGCGACTGGACTAACATCATTGTAGCCTGGGGCATTTGCCATACCGTTCCCGTACTGGCACCAACTGGGATTATCGATCAATACGAGTGAAGAAGAGCTCGTCCGACTCTCATTGTATCAACTAGATCTTGTTCTCAAACAACAAACAGCTCCCAGAGACACAGCTGCCATCATCGTCGAGCCTGTACTTGGAGAGGGTGGTTATGTACCAGCCCCTGCATCTTTCCTCAAAGGATTGCGTGCCGTCTGCGACAAACATGGCATCCTCCTTATTGTGGATGAAGTACAGAGTGGATTCGGTAGGACGGGCAAGTACTTCAACGTTGAATATAGTGGTGTCCGACCCGATATCCTGATAATCGCAAAGGTACAGTGGATTGCTGTGTTAGTCATGGCTAATTGAATCGCTGATTAACCCTAGGGCCTTGCAAATGGATTCCCGTTGAGTGGTGTAGTCAGCAGGAAGGAGCTTACGGATAAGTTAGTGCCGGGTTCCATGGTTAGTCCATTACCACTAGCCCGTGTTTTCTCGTCCCGTTGATAGCACATTTTAAGGGAGGTACATATGCAGGCAACGCCGTATCATGCGCCGCTGCGGTGGCTGTCGCTAACGCCTTCCGTGAAGAGAAGGTGCTCGATAATGTTTCGGCTCGGTAAGATCACTGCACAAGCGGTCCAGAATTCTGTAGTCTCACAGTTTCTAGTTCGAGCGAACTTTTAACATCGTTAAAGTCCCTCCGTAATGACCCAGAAGTAGGAAGCATGGTCGTCGATATCCGGGGCCAGGGCCTGATGGTTGCTGTCGAGTTTGCATCCCCGTCGTACTCTCCAACTGATCCCGCACTGGTTCCATCCGCACCGAAGAACCTCGCAAGTCGTGTGGCGAAGCGCTGCATGGAGAAGGGGCTTTTAATTCTCACGACTTCATTATATGAAGTCATCAGGTTCATACCTCCTCTGAATATCTCGCAGGGCGATTTGCAAAAAGGTTGTCAGATATTTGCGGAATCAGTCAAAGAAGTCGTCCGAGAAGGTTGAATAGTCGTTCTTTTGTACCGAGTACCCGACATGTTTTGTCATGTTCGTCGAGCGTAAAAATCTATGCATTTGTATCCCGAATTTATGTACAATATTCATGTAGATCCACCTGCGACTCCCACGTAAGTACTGTCATTGTTAGTGGCAGATGGGGCCTTCGCACCTCCAAGTAGTAACCGATATAGCAGGCCAGCTGATTGAAATACTTCAAAAAAAAGATCAGGTGAGCCTGGTAACCACTATTGTACATATACACTATTACTTTTCCACCTTCGTACTATGCTAATGATACACATTTGAAATGACAATGGGTTGGGATAAGCAGATCCACCGCGTTACGCGATCGCAATTCACTGGGGTTGCTGGTCCGGTCCAGCCTTCGGGAAGGACACAGTAAGCACACCATTCTCCATCTCCGCGTGGACGTCCTCAGCCTGGAGGTGTAACATGGTCAGACCGCCGCCACGCATAACCGTTACACCAAAAGGTGAAATACTGAAAGCTTAGCTTTCAGTATCAGCGACGCTATATGTACTGATTATGAGAACTCAGGTAAGCCAGCGTGCTTACAGGAGGGTACAATAACTGTCAACACCAAATCGCTACACGGAATTCACACTGTTAGTGTGCTCACCTTGATTCCCTGAGGAATTTGAAGGGTCCTGGAAAATTTGCCATAAGAACGCTCCTGCACCACATAGCTGTCCTTGTTGTAATTATCCGAGCATTTCGACTCTCCGGATATTGTCAGACGATTTCCATGGACCTCGACATTGACATCCTGTTGTTTGATGCCGGAAGTTCAAGTGTCGCCGTGACCGTCTTGGTCTCAGAGTTCTCGTGTAGATCCATCCTGTGTTGATACGAGTCAACGACATAACTACATTGAAATTTATATTATGCTCACCTAGGAAACGCCCAACCACGACGATGAGTCAAGGCAGTATTACCCTCGATGGTAGTAGGGGAGGAATGGAAACGAGCATTGAAAGCATCGTCAAATAGCTTGTCGAACTCGGTGAATGGATCGTAAAATGTGCGCACCAAAGACATGATTAAGTGCAGAATAATAGATGTCGGGAGAGGTGTTTTGGTGGTTGTTATTGATTGACGTTGGAGGAGTTTGCTGCAGTCTGAGCGACTCTAACCAGCATTTATATACATGTCCGTGACAATATATAACGAATGTCTATAATGTTCACGATGATACGAGTGTCTTCTAGAAGTTACCCGGTATTTGGTTGAATAGCGATCGACGACATTCTGTAATATTCCCGAGTTGACTCGGAGAAGCCGCTAGTAAGGCGTTCCATATTGAGCCGAGCAAATTCGACTGCGTTGAGCTGGGAACGCTGCAACCAGACGACAGCGTAATGTTTGAGTATAATATAGGGAAGCTTGAGATGACATATGGCTTGAGTGAGCTCGCTCTCAGAGGACAACGCAAAAATGTAGGAGACAGTTGATAAAAGAGTCGCATTCTGTGCGGACTACGAGTCCATTTCTCGGACCAAGTCTTTGTACATTTTGAGGGAGGGATGATGATGACTTTCTGAACGAGGTGGTCGCATTGAACCCCCAAGAATAGGATCTCCGGTTACTGTGGATCGATTAATGTACATCGATAATCGGCTTAAATCGATTCTGCATATATAGCGATACCTCAGGCTACTGATACTTACGGTCATCGAATTCTGACCTTTCTATTACTTCCTGCCCCTCAGTATTCAATCAGGGTCGGTTGGACGTGTGATCGTCTAAACCTTACTTGGCATCCAGTGTCTGCTTCTCCCGCTCCACACTGGCTTCTCTCCACTTCCTGCCTTTGTACAACACCAGCAGGATCATGCACTCGACGGCAACCATCAGACCTGCCCAGAGAGTATACAGACCACCGTCACCAATAGTATCCTAAACTAACGTCAGATTTGGCCTTCTGCAAACTGTCATGACCCTGACTCACTTGTAAAGGAACCGCAATCTCGACAGCGACAAAAGCAACCAGACCACGGAAAGAACTATTTGCTGCTACTGCCATTGATGAGCGACCAGTGTTTGCATCAACAAGGTATGCCAGTGTGCTTGCGTAGATCCATCTATCGTGGATGAGAAGTAAAATACAATGTAAAAACTCAGTGAGCGTACACGGATAAAAATCCAGTGAGGAACAGCATCACACACACAGCGGCAACATGGACTCGTTCTTGGCACACCCAGGCGTATCCAATAACAGACAGAGGTGACCACAACATGGCGATTTTCGTGCTCTCGAGGCGCATCTGAATGAATTTGCATCAGCCATCTGCTGAGTCAGTGCTAGTGGTTCGACGTTCACCTCTGGAAAGCTGACCCCTCCATTTTTGGCCTTTAGCCGAGCAAGTGTCCTATCAGACCAATAACCACCCGATATGCTGCCAGCTACTGAGCCTGCGACAAGGAGATGCGTCAGGCAGGTGTTCCCAATGCTTGTAATTCACTTACCGACACCATAGACAAGCAAAACAAGGCCGGTCTTCAATGCATCATAATCATAATACACTGACAATGTTCTTGCGCATGTATACGCAATACTAGGGCTAAACGCAAATGTTAAGGCTGGCGCGAGAGGGCATAAAAATAGGGTTTCAGCAAGAAATGAGGGCACGCACCTGATGCTATCAAGATAAGCAGGTTGTTCTTGCGGCTGACAATCGAGAAGTATGGAGGGAAAGGGTTGACATCAGCCATGGACAGTCTCATGTCTTTAATGGCTGATGGTATAACCGGCCGCTGTGCTTCGATATCTTTCGAAGTCGTCTTATTTTCTCCACCCGCTTTTGATCTTGAAATATTTTGCGACTCGTCCTTCGCTTCCGATGACTGCTGCTTTCGGAGTCTCGAATTCAATACGTTCTGGTAAACCACACTCCTTTCCTTCCTGAAGGTATCCTTGAACAAGACAAGAAATGCCGAAAAGATTATACCTCCCAAGATGACCAAGAGCCAGAAAACTGCCCGCCAGCTAAGGCCCTGTGTGAGTGCACCACCAAAGATTGGTCCTAACGAGGGACCGAGGAGAGGTGCAGAGTAGTAGATACCCATCATTGTACCTCGTTGATGTGGCTCGTATATATCGGCCAGAGTGGCAGTTCCCATACCGAAAACTGCGCTTAACCTACTCAAAGTGAGCACGGACACGAATGATTGAGGAACTGTCCCACCCTGCGGCTTGCACGATTCGCATGCCAATCATCAAACCAATAGTCCTTGACGCGGCCACGATTGCAGATCCAATTATGAAAAGCCCAACGGATAGAAGGTACACGAGCTAGGTTCGCTCATTAATAAACAACGCTCTAAGGGCAGCTATAGATACAAACCTTGCGGCCCTTTATCTCGCCAATCGCACTCCAAATGATAGGAAAATTGCCTTGAACCAGAATGAACAGAGATATACTCAGGCTGATATCTCCGCTGCTGGCGTGTAGCTGCTGCTCAATTTGAGCATTGGCGGCTGTTCCCTGACCGTTCAACCGATATTTGACACAACAGGATCACAGACGCAACCTACGGTTTTGTATGTTACACCCCAAACCCGAAACAACCGAGGCACCAGATATAATGAATAATATAGCAGTCTGTAGTTGTGTTCAATCAATTTCTACTTAAATATCGTGTAGGATGGAAGGACTCACCTTCTTCGTATTTGACCATATTCGAGGATCATCCTCAACCACGGCATGCTCTATATCAAGCTTAATAGGTTCATTTGGCAATATGGAACTGGGGGAATGCGGTTGGGTATCAGTATGAAACTCCACATCCTGGACCTCTATAGGTGACAGGTTCGTACTCCGTGTTTCTGCCATGGGGGTAAAATGTCAGATGCACGAGTTGACAATTGTATGGCAAGTCACGTATGATCTTATAGATGGTTCATGGATAACAGGAATGTCAGAAAGAGGACTAGTAGTGCCGGTACGATAAGAGCATGCTGGCACCACTGAAACGCAAGCTTTACGACAAACCCTTGTACTCACCTTATAGTGTGTCCAATTCCTAGCGGCCAATTAGTAAAATCATTACTTACTATGTCGAGAAATTTACGGTGGCGCTCAGCCAAAATGCCACGCGAGGGCACGGGACACCGATCGACTACCTTTTCGAGCCGGGATTCGCTGACCTCACCAGATTCGTGTGACGGCGTAAGTTATGACGAGTAGTGCTGCCGTGGTCCGGTTCCGAACCGTGGTTCGGTCCACGGTTCTCCATTTTGGCCGGACCGAACCGAAATGAGGTTCACGGTTCGTTGGTCCTGGGGAGGTTCGGTCATGGGTTCGGACCTTCCCGAACCGTTCCGAACCGCGAACCGAAACTTCGTCGACGAGGCTGGTGACTTCCCTTCCGCACTCATGGGTACTTCGACTTCTACATAGGATCATCGACATCTGCACTAACTTCCAATTCTGTCCGGACACTCGCATTTCATGCTCCCGGTTGTTGTCATATCCCGCGTTCCGGACCCGGACCTATCACACTCATCATTTCCGGATTTCCGGATCCGGCCGACTTCTATGTATCGTCCGGATCCGACCCACCTGTGGTTCCCACGTACCTGATCTAATAAGATATGACAGCTGCGTGTGCTGGCGGGTCTAAAACGACGTGTTTCTAATTATCCCCAGCCAAATGAATAAAGGCTGGATACTGAGGGGCCTTCAGTGGTGCAAAGAGAGTACTGGTGGTGTTCCAGCAGTGTCGGCACCTATCTCCGTACCCCGCGTGCTAATATTAGCTCATTTAGAATGCCGCCGGCTGTCGGATGTAATGGGCGAGGCCACGTCAGCACCAATCATTCGTGCTCGCTGTTGCCGACAGCGAGCTCGTGTATTTCGCGTGGATGTGCACAGATTGGAGGCGGACTTTCACTGATATATAGATATACGTAGAGTACTGTAATTGCAATGCTTCGTAGGTAGAATAACAGGGTTCTTGAGGTCCAAACCTTACAAAGTCAACACCCTACTACTAAGTCAAGCTTCGTCCTCGCTGCTCTCCTCCTCGGATGTGCAAACAAACTCAGCACTCTTTGGAGCCTGCATTGATGACCCTGGTGCTCGTGCCCTCTTTCTCTGGTGCGAATTTTCCTTGCCCTTTCGTTTGCGAGGTACCCCTGCATCAGAGCGCTTCTTGCGTGGCTTGGTAACCACCTCTCCTTTCTTGCGGCGTGCGTCAAGCAGAGCATTATACTCCTCGCGTTGCCGGGGACTCATGCGGAACCAGTGGCATGAGCCATCCTTCAGTGCACAACGGACCTTGAGGAGGGAGTTGAGATCGTTCAAGCTGGTGGGGGATTGGAATGGAATGCCTTCAGGCCAGCCCCTCAGGTCTATGCCGAGCTTCTCTTTGATAGCAGTATCGAAGCTTGCATAGTTGATGCGGATGTCACGTCTCTTAGCTACAGTCTCTGACAAAAAATTAGTTAGTATCGAGTGAGTGCGAGAAACGAAACACGTACTTAGGCCTGAATTGAGGAGCCGTGTGCATACACGTTGCATGTTTTGCACCGTTTCACGTTCGTCGAGGCCTAGGATAATGTAAGAGTCAGCAGATATGCAAGTGAAAATGTGAAGTGAAACACACTTCGACCTGCCATGCACGCCCACTGTTCCAGTTTTCTTGCGATCTCGTCTGCCTCCATTTGCAGGACGTCCTCCCAGAAATCCATCACATTGTCTGTCCCGAACCACGTTGCCTGAGCTGTATCGTATACATGTCCACGTGAGGCAAACACGCAGGCATAGATTCCGGTCCGGACTGCTAGACTATCAAGCTACGAGTTCATTAGTTGTGAGGACTTGGTGAAATCAAGCAACTTACCATCTTAAAAACATTATCAAGGGTTGACTGGACATCACGTGCAGCGGAGGCGTTCGTCGCACGAACACTCATGTTCTGCATAGCGCGGTGTTCGATTAAGTTGTCGATATATTGTTGCTTCTCTCCTTCTGTCAAGTTCTGCATGGCGGTATCCTCCTTCACCAACATCCGGAGATCCTTAGCTCCAAATTTCG